AGGTAGATTTTAGAGTTTTATAAAAGTTTTTTTTCTATAAAAACTCTTTTCATATCAATTAATAAATATTTTTTTATATAAATAAATAAATACTGAAATACTGAAACTCATTCCACATTTAATAAATATTTTTTTAATAAATAAATAAATACTGAAACTTTATATTTACTTTTATTAAAAAATTCATAATAATAAATAGATTAATTTGAATTTTATTAGGTAGATTTTAGAGAGTTTATTTTTTCTTTTATTTATTTTTTTTTATAAAAACTCTTTTCATATCAATTAATAAATATTTTTTATATAAATAAATAAATACTAAAATACTGAAACTCTTTGCACATTTAATATTTTATTTTTTTAAAATATATCCTTGTCTAATTAAATTTAATTTTATTAAGAAACTCATACTAAAAGTTAATTTGTGGTAGAGTTTTAAAAAATTATTTTATTTTATATATCAATTAATAAGTTTTTTTTATATTATAATTCTTGTCTAATTCAATTTTCTTTTATTAAAAAATTCATAATAATAAATAGATAAATAGGTTAATTTAAATTTTATTAGATAAATTTTGGAGTTTGATAGAGTTTTTTTAAAAAAAAAAAAAAATACTTTTCATATTAATTAATAAATATATTTTTTATAAATAGATACTTAAATATTGAAACTCTTTGCACATTTAATAATACTATAGATAAAAAAAAAAAAAAAATTATTTTAATTAATAAATATTTTTTATATAATTAAATAAATACTGAAACACTTTGGTAGAACTTCTGTATTTTACTCTGAAAATTAGATTTTCTTTTATTAAAAAATTGTAATTTGTAATACGTGTTAGAGTATTATAGAAAATATTTTTAAATTCTTTTTACATGAATTAATTAATATTTTTATATTTTAATAATTCCTATCTAATTAGATTAGCTTTTATTTAAAAAAAAAAAAAACTCATAATAAAAGGTAATTTGTGGTAGAATTTTAGAAAAATTATTTTATTTTTTATATCAATTAAAAATATTTTTTATATTAATAATTCTTGTCTACTTAGATTTTCTTTTATTAAAAAACTTATAATAAATAAATAGGTAATTTGTGTTAGAGTTTAATATAAACTCTTTTAAAAACTCTTTTTATATCAATTAATAAATATTTTTTATTTTAATAATTATTGTCTAATTATATTTAGTTTCATTTAAAAACTAATAATAAATAGATAAATAAGTAATTTGTGTTAGAATTTTTTAAAAACTCTTTTAAAACTTCTTTTTGTATTTGTTAATAAATAATTTTTTATATTAATAGTACTTGTTTAATTAGGTTTCTTTTTATTAAAAAAACTCATAATAAATAGATAAACAGGTAATTTGTGTCACAGTTTTATAGAAACTCTGTTGATAGAGTTTTATGGAAAATAAAATAGGTAATTTGTAATAGAGTTTAATAGAAATTATTTTATTTTCTTTAAATATATATACTTGTCTAATTAGATTTAATTTTATTATGAAACTTATAGTAGAGTTATATAAAAATTATTTTCTTTTACATATCAATTAATAAATATTTTTTATATGAGTAATTCTTGTCCAATTAGATTTATTTTATTAAAAAATTGATAATAAATAGGTTAATTTAAATTTTATTATGTAGATTTTAGTGTTTTATCATATTATTTAATAAAATTTTTTTACATAAATAAATAAATACTAAACTCTTTATACATCTAATAATAGTATAGATAAAAACTTACTCTGGAATTTAACTCTTTTTATATCAATTAATAAATATTTTTTTATATAAATAAGTAAATACTGAAACTCTTTGGCAGAACTTCTGTATTTTATTCTGAAATTCTAAATTTCTAGAATTCTCAATTTCTGTACCCCTTCATCCTTCCTCCATGTCTCTATTTATAGGCTTCTTAGATGAATATGATAATGACATGTGTCCTTTTCTGATAATGACATAATCATAACTGAGCTTTATATAGAATTATCCATAAAAAATAACTAAAATTAAGAGTTTTATATAGTATATAATTGATTTTATTAGGTAATTTTTAGATTTTTAAAAAAACTATAATAATCCATAAAAATAAAAATAAAAACTAAAAATAAGAGTTTTATATAGAATGTGATTGGTTTTATTAGGTAAATTAGATTTTCTTTTATTAAAAAACTTGTAATAAATAAATAAATAGGTAATTTGTGTTAGAGTTTAATATAAACTCTTTTAAAAACTCTTTTTATATCAATTAATAAATATTTTTTATTTTAATAATTCTTGTCTAATTAGATTTACTTTTAGTAAAAAAACTCAAAATAAATAGATAAATAGGTAATTTGTGTTTTAAAAACCTCCTTTTGTATTAGTTAATAAATAATTTTTTATATTAATAATACTTGTCTGATTAGGTTTCCTTTTATTAAAAAACTCATGATAAATTGATAAATTGATAATTTGTGTTAGAGTTTTATACAAATTCTTTAAATATATCTTTGTTGATAGAGTTTTATTGATAATAAAATAAGTAATTTGTAATAAAGTTTTATTAAAATTATTTTATTTTCTTTAAATATATACTTGTCTAATTAGTTTTAATTTTATTAAGATACTCATAATAAAAGCTAATTTGTAATAGAGTTTTATAAAAATTATTTTATTTTATATATCAATTAATAAATATTTTTTATATTAATAAATATTGTCTAATTAGATTTTCTTTTATTAAAAATGGATAATAATAAATAGATAAATAGGTTAATTTAAATTTTATTATGTAGATTTTACTGTTTTATAGATTTTTTTTTTTTTGTTTTAGTAAAAACTCTTTTCATATCATTTAATAAATATTTTTTTATATAAATAAATAATGAAACTTTTTACACATCTAATAATAATATAGATAAAAACTCTTTTTATATCAATTAATAAATATTTTTTTATATAAATAAATAAATACTGAAAATTCTTGACAGAGCTTTTGTAGTTTACTCTTGAAATTCAACTCAATTAATAAATATTTTTTATATAAATAAATAAATACTGAAATACTGAAGCTCTGTATTTTACTCTGGAATTCTGGATTTTTAGAATTCTCAATTTCTGTACACCTTCCTCCTTCCTTCATGCCTCTATTTATAGGCTTCTTGGATGAATAGGATGATGACATGTGTCCTTTTCTGATAATGACATAATCATAATTAGACCGGGCCGGTTATATTGTGATAATTATTTATAAAAAATAACTAAAAATAAGAATTTTATATAGAATGTGATTGATTTTATTAGGTAATTTTTAGAGTTTTATAGAAACTATAATTATCCATAAAAAATAATTAAAAATAAGAGTTTTATATAGAATGTGATTGATTTTATTAGGTAATTTTTAAAGTTTTATAGAAACTATTTTTACAAAAACTATTTTTATATCAATTAATAAATTTTTTTTTTTATAAATAAATAAATACTGAAATACTGAAACACTTTGCACATTTAATAATAGTATAGATATATATATATATATATAGATATATATATACACACACACTAGAATATCAATAATTTATCTTCCTAGTTGCTAAAAAAAAAATAATGGTTGTCCCAAGATGCAAGTACTATCATATTAAAGTTTGTTTGATTCTTACTTTTTATTTTTATTTTTTGGTATAAGGTATTTTACTGTTTCTAAATATTTAAAGCTTGTTTGATTCTTAACTGTTGGCATTATCAATTTGGATTAGAAATTATTTGAGTTATGTGAAAATCTAACAATGCAATTTATTGCAACTGAACTAGAAACTCATGAAGGAAATTCTGTGTAAGATTGTTGTGAAAGTTTAATTATAGGTCATGCTTTGTTAAAATTGCTTCTTATCCCCAGTAAAAAAGGAAGAAAAAAAAATGTGTTCTTTTGACTCCTTCCATTGCTGAAAAAGGGTTTACAAAAAATAATTTTCTGTTTTGGGAGTTAAAAAAAAACTGTTCTTCAATTTTTTTTAGTTTAATTATAGCACATCAACTTTGTTTTGTCTAGGTTTTTGGAAAATCAAGATGGACATAGATTGGAGTAACACATCGTCTTCATCGTCTAGTGATTCAGATGAAGATTTTGATGACCTTGTAAATTGTATGTATTTGAATTTGATGTAGGAGTACGAAGATTCCTTTAAATCCAAGGTACCAAAAAGAACTTCAGGGTTAACAGGTCAAGAAGATGTTAATGGCACTGATGGGGGAATGGTAACAGTAGTAATGCTGGTTTACTGAATGCACTTAATTTATCTGATCATGGTGCAGCACAAATGGGAGCCCTTAGAACTCATCTGACAAATCAAATGTAGGCATCATTTAGAGGCAATGCTAGATGAAGTTATTTTTATAATTCTCCAATGTTTTGCTTTGATTACCTATTTGTGTAATTCTCTAATATTTTGTTTTGGTTATGTATGACTAAAATTAATATTTGTGCAGTGTATATGACACTTGAAATAATTAATGTAACTCTTTTATTGTATTTTAATTTAGTCAAATTTTAATTAAATTTGATATATTGTATTTGTGCAACTTTTATTAAGTATACTTGCTAAAATGAATTCCCCTTCAACACTTATTTAAAATATATATATATAGTTAATATCTTCATTTAAATAAATAAAAGAGTGATGTACAATATTTTTATTTATTTTCTTAGTTCAGAAAATTATTTTCAAAAATTCATACAACCAAGTAGTTTTATAAAAATTGTTCTCAAGGACTGTTCTTGAGAACCGTTTTCATAAATCCATTCCAAGCACGGTATTCTCTCTTTTTCCTCCACAAATGTCAGCCTTCTCTCTCATCTCTTTAATCAAATGGTAGATACTAATCAATGCTAAAATCTTTCTCTTCATTGATAAAGCTTCCATGTCTTCTTCGTATACCTATACATATACATATATGCAATCAACATTGTTTGATATTATTTTCCTCCCCCATATTGTTTGTGTCTCTAGAGTCAACACGCAGATGTTGAAGAGTCAACACGCAGATGTTGAAGAAACCAAGTTGATTTCAAATCGATGCATAGACGCAGTTGAGACTCCGAAAAACCGAGTACCCATTTTGTTTTTTGGGCCGAAAACAGAGTACGAAGACCGACGAGCAAACTTGGTTTCTATTTGGAATCTCTCTCTCTCTCTCTCTGACAGACCCAAATGGCAGCAGTTTCTCATCTGTTCTTCTGGGTTTTTCTTTGGGTATCTCGTCAATGGCATATGTGAGGTATGATGTTTAAAACCCTCTGTTTGTTTCCCTAGAAAATAGATTCGTGTTAAGAGGTTAAATTTTGAAGTCGGTCACATTCGCTGCTGTTTAATTTATTCAAGTTTCCCAATACATTATGTGGCTTATATAATTGTAATGATGCAGGTTTTTTGTTTTGAAAAAGCACATAAAGACTCATTTGGATTGAGCAGTGTCGGAAAAGAAAAGGGTAAATTCTTGCAACTTATTTTGCTTGTTCTACTAATAGTTTATCAATTAAAAAACTTTTACATCTCATTTTGTTAATATCTCACTTGAGCTGATTTACTTACAAGATTAATTTTGTACATACATTCTTTTATACCATTGCTTAAAATTTTAAGCAATGGTATAAAAGTATGCCAACTTTTGCAAACTAGTGAACTTTCAACTACTTATAAGACTGTTTTCTAGCATATACTTTTAGCAGCCAAAAAGAAAAAAACCTTGGTGGTTAACAAAATACAAGGTACATACAGTACTTATCAGTTATTAAAAACTTTGTTCTTAATTTAATCTGCTGGTCTTAGATGCAACAGGGTCATTAATTAATTATATGATATAATAGCAAATCTAATTAGAGGCATAAAAAGTGCAGATAATTGCTCTCTCCGGCAACGGGAACATTCTTGCAATTGTCTCCGGCATTGATGCCATTGCTCTCTCCGGCGAAGAGAACGAACGCCATCACGGATGCCTTTGCTCACTCCGGCGAAGAGAACGCCATCACGGAGAAGAGAACGCCATCACATGCTTTTGCTCGCTCCAGCGAAGAGAACGCCATCACGGAAAAGAGAACGCCATCACGGATGCCTTTGCTCGCTCCGGCGAAGAGAACGGCACTGAGGCTGTTGCTCGCTCCAGCGAAAAGTACGATCTTGCAGTCGTCGCCGACACTGTTGTGGTTGGTCGCTCCGGCTAAGAGAACGGCCTAAGCAAAGGTTCCGAAGGGTTTATCGAAGTCGGCGAGTCTTTCGGCGGCCGCGAGAACAACAACCTTCCACCAGTTACCGGCGAGTCCTCCCGCGGTGGCGAGGATGAACATCTGGTTATATTATAATATATTTTTATATTTATTTTTTTCTTTTCGTCAGAATTCTTATTTTATTTTCATTTCTTGTCCACAATTTGTGACTCTTTTGTAAATATAGTTAAGGCTTCTAATACTCCTTGTGTTCCAAAATTCTTGGGGAGTTTGGAGACTCCAGTATTATTTTAATGGTGATGAGTCTTAAAAAAAAAATTATTGTCTTGATAAGTGTGAATGTAACTAATTCACTTATAATGTCAAAATGATGGTTAGAGAATATTATCAAATATAGTATATCCATTTTTAGAATGAGACATGTACTTTGAAAATTTTTGTGCATGTTTAATTCTCACTCCGAAATAGATAGATTACTTACATTACCTACTACTTAAACAAAATTCTAGACTCTTCATTTCAAAAAGTGAAAAATGTGATTTTTAAATATATATTTTTTATTATTCCGTAATAATATATTAAATATTAAAAGATCATTTTTTAATTCTCAAATATTATCACTTTTAAGTATATATATGTCCATTTATATATAATTTCTTATACTTTTATGTTATATTATAAGTATTTCAATCATTTGAATTTATTTTAGGGAAAATTACATATAAATGGAGTCAAAGTTCCATATTTACTTAGAGGCTGAGTCAAAGTTCCATATTTCTCTAAAATGGATTGCTGAGGTGGCACATGGTTTTTTACTGTTTAGAAATTGTGGTGCCTAAAATACCCTTCCGCGAAGGTACTACTTTTTCTTCGAAGGTACTACTTTTTTGAACTGAAGGTACTACTTTTTGGTGTCCAGGTACCATGTTTTTTAAATACCCGCGAAGGTACTACTTTTTCTTCGAAGGTACTACTTTTTTGAACTGAAGGTACTACTTTTTTGAACTGAAGGTACTACTTTTTTGTTAGGGAAGGGCATTTTAGGCACCACAATTTTCTAAACAGTAAAAAACCATGTGCCACCTCAGCAATCCATTTTAGAGAAATATGGAACTTTGACTCAGTCTCTAAGTAAATATGAAACTTTAACTCCATTTATATGTAATTTTCCCTTTATTTTATACCCAAGCCCAATAATCCAAATCAACCCATTGGTTATATTATTCTCTTTTAAAATAAAACTAGCCCAACAATATAGCCCAACCCAATATTTCTCTGTTAAAAATAAAACTAGCCCACTTCATTCATTAATTCCAAGCCCATTTCCTGCCATCCCTTCTAAACCCTAACCAATACCCTTCTCTCCATTTTGCTGCCAGCCAAATCCCAACCCCTCAACCAATTTTTTTCCAAGCGGTGACGAGCCGGGCCTGAGCACCCTAATACTCTCGGCTCGGCTCGGCTCGGCTCGGCTCGGCTCGTTCGCAGCCCTGCTTAATTGTAAGAAATTAGTTCAATGGAATTAGAGAGAAGAAAATTGTTTTAGGTATACTCGGATTATGCATAAATAGTATGCTATTATTGTGTTAAAAAAAGAGTTACTTTAAAATTAATAATAAGAAAGGTAGTTTCAGCAAATTAAAAAAGGGATAATTCTATAAAAATTGAGTTTTGGGGTCAAAGGACAAAAGAATGAAGTCAAAATCAAATTTTCCAAATTAATCGAATTTTATAAAAGTATGACGTGGATATGGAAAATTACTATACATCACCTTTTTATTTTCAAAATACCCTTCTATAGTTGTTATGAAATTATGCTATTACCCTTCTTATATCTAGAGAGAGAGAAACTCATCTATGCCAATCTTGTTAAACTTTCCATCTCGTGCAGCTCCTCCTTTCTTAAACTCCTGAAACACACCAATAAAATCACCGAAAAATGACACGGCAAAGCCAGGATAGCCGACAGCAGTGTGGGAAGCTATGCCCAAGCCCTCACCGACGTCACCAAGTCCAACCAAACTCTAGAAATTAAGAGCTATTTTCTACCATTTTTTTTTTTTTTTTTTTTTTTTTTGAAAGATAGATGTATGCTACTTTGATACTGTAAACCTTCAAGAAAAATGGAGAGAGGCCTAATTCTCATTTGTGAATATTCCAATTTTTATGGTGTGACTTAGATTTCACAGACCCACTTGAAGATTTCTTATGGATCCACAAGCATTTGCATCAAACTTTTGTATTGCCAAGCTGTAGATCGACCATTACAGATTATATTAGTTTTTTCATGATGTTTCATGTTGGGTTTTTGAATCTCAGCTTGGATCTTGATTTTTCTTTTGTCTGCTATGGATTTTGGGTTTAAATCGGGTTTGAAGGAAAAGATATTTTGGAGGGAACATGAGAGGGAGAACAAAGATTTGCTGTTTTTTTTCTTTTCTTTTCTTTTTTTTTATTATTATTTTTTTTAAAATGGGTTTAGTGGTAAGGTGGGTGAAAGAGGGAGATGGAAGATAGTATTGTTCCTTTTGGGAAGAATGGTTGCCATAGATGGGTTTCTCTTTCTACATATAAGAGAAGGGTGTTTTGGGAATAAAAAGATGATGTATAAGAAAATTTCATGTCCAAGTCAGACTTTTATAAAATTTCATTAATTTGGAAAACTTAATTTTGATTCCATTCTTTTATCCTTTGACCCCACAAAACTCCATTTTTATGGAATTATCCCATTAAAAAATATAGGAAATGAAACGTAGAAAAAATGATAGTTACACTAAAGCCATGCACCGAATTATTGGGCAGAATGATGTGGCAGTCCAGCGGGCAGAGAACGTGATTTTTTACTAATCTGCTTATTCACGTTTACTGTGCACTATCCCTAATTTTAGAAACCTCTCTGCCATCCCCAATTTGTAGCATTTTTTTTTTTCCTCCAATTTAACGCGATCTACAACAACTCTAAATGTTTTGGCTTTTTGATGATTTGGAGTTATTGAGTACCTCTAGTAAATCAAATATATATATATATATATATATATATATATATATATATATATATATATATATATCAATCTCCTTGTATATGTATATGTTGCTGCAATTTTTTTTTTTTAAGAGTTTAACACCAATGTCAATCCATTGAATAGAGATTGTAAACGTGAATAAGCAGATTAGTAAAAAATCACATTCTCTGCCAGCTGGACTGCCACATCATTCTGCCCAATAATTCGGTGCATAGCTTCGGTGTAAGTATCATTACTCAAAAATGAAGGATGCACCCTTTTATTTGGTTACTTTAAAAAATGAATGATGTGCACATCAATTGTTTTGTAAGAGTAAAAGGAAGGAGGGGTTTTGTATTATTATTATTAGGAAAAATTATACTGACCTCACCTAAGGTTTCGTCAATATACACTAACCTCCCCTCTTGTTTGTCAAATTATACTAACCTCCCCTATTATAGCTGTCAAGTGGATGGTGTTAACTGTTCAAGTAAAATTACATATATGTCCTCAATAAAATATTTATTATATTTTATTTATGAAAGGTTGAACATTGAAAAGACAAAATTATCCATATGTCAAAGAGAAACAATGTGGAAGGATATATATATATACACACTTAAATATATTTGTTTGATGAGAAACAATTTGAAAGGAGAGAGGGAGGATATATTTGTTTGATTTGGTGTAATTTGGGTTTGATTGGTAACGACAAGGAGGGTTTAGGAAGGAAATCCAATTAGGGTAAGAAAGAGAGCAAATGGGTATGGCAAAAACCAGATTTGGTGCTGAGGAGGCCGGATATGACTTGCAAACGCGGCATTGAGTCCGTAAAGGTGGGTCAGGCCCATAAAAAGGCACTACTATATGGGCCGAACGCGCATAGGCCCATCAAAGAGGACCGGGACTCATGGAGGAACGGGCCTAGATCCAGCAGTCCATCGACATTTGTAAATCTCTATAAATAGGAGGAGTAAGGTAAAGAAAGAGGGATCTTTTTTGGGTTGAGATATAGGAATTCTAGAGAGAGAGTGGGAGAAGGAATTTCCTGTATCTTCAATTGGCGCCGTCTGTGGGAATCGCATGGAAGTTTGGTTGATCAATGAGGAATATTGAGTGGATTCAGACCAATTCGGTTGATCGAGACTCGATCTTTGGGAGTTGGATCCAGATCTGAGCGATTGTGACCTACTCTGAAGGAATTTCAGTTCTTGAAGCTTTGGCAGAAGTGGCTTCAGATCTACGCAACAACAAGTTGTTCGATTGTGGCAGGATCTGACGGATTTAGAATTCAGACAATTCAGATCTCGTCAACGGTGAGCATAATTCGGAGAATTCGAAACCAGATCTGAAAAATTCCCACTCACGAAGCTCGGATCTACTCGCGAACTTGAGATTAATGCCTTTACTCCGTTCAGGAATAATGATAGGTGAAAGCTCCAATCCGATGGAGGCTGTCCAGCAAACAAAGCTTGAGGAGTTGATGAACTTAATCGAAGCTCTCAAAAAAGAGAATGCAGAATTGAAAGCTGGAAACCTGCGGTTTCGCATCCACTTCCGGTCGGTGAAGGAGGTGTTCAATCTAATATCGCGCGTCAAGGCGAGCAGGACGAGAACAATCAGTCAGCTCACCACCGTGATGAAAGGATGATGGACAATTTGCCGCCAAATGTTCGTCGAGTTGAGGATCACGAAGGATCGACTCACGTTGATCCGCGACATGAGCAGATTAGACAGAATGAAGCCATAACCTTCAATCCGCATCGGGAAAGGTTCGACCGAGAGGAAGTGATAGAGGTTGATCGTCGTCGAGTAGCGCCGCCTTGGCAAAGAGAGTTCATAGAGGAACGGTCGTTCGATCCGTCTTACCGGCCCTCCATGGCTACAATCACTCATCGCGGTTCGGAGGGCAGAACCGTAACTCACAGAGCTACCGCTGGACTCCAGAGAGAGAATGAAGCTCTCCGATCCGCAGCTCGGATGGTTGATTCACCATTCACCGACGAGATCCTGAATGCCCCGCATCCAAGGAAGTTTGCTATGCCAGTCTTTATTCTGTTTGACGGAACAACCGATCCGATCGATCATGTGTACCATATCCAGTTGAAAATGGCCCTGAATACGGAAAACGACTCTTTAATGTACAAATGTTTCCCTACAAGCCTAGCCGGACCGGCGCTCAGCTGGTTCAAAAACTTGCCTAGGAGCTCCATTGGTAGCTTCAGAAACCTGTGCGATC